TTTAGTTGGTACCAGTTTGGAGGACGCTGCAAAACCATTCTTATCTTCACCAAACCCTTCATTGGGCGCAATAGGTTGCTGAGTTACCTCGCCAACGTCCTGTTACATAATAGAAAACATAATATGTAAGCCTCAGCATAACCACTAGGACAGCTAAGAGAGAGTGAAGCTGGAAAATAAAGTTACCTTCTCAGGCAGCAGTGCTTGATCAGAAATTTGATCATCATTTCCAAAGAAAACTGAAGGATCAAAACTCATATTCTGGAAGTCATCATTTGCATCAAAGTAAGTAAGGTATTCCTCAAACATGTCGAAACCAGAGCTGTCAACCTGAACGGGATTTGAAAGATCATTAGCTTCGAGGAAAGCTTCATCGTTAAATTGGAGATCATCAGTCCCATTTACAATTGGTTCATTAAGCAAGTAATCCCCATCTTCAGAGTTCATGTTCTTGCTTGATTCACCAATATATTCATGATTGACTTGCTCAGCATTAAAATTCTGTTGCACAGCTAGATCAATTGGTTTAAGCTCGTCAGGTTGCTGCAGCCAATTTTGAGCATCAGAGGAGTTATTTGTCTCCTCCGTACTTCCATTTTCACCAAAAGAATAATCCAATGGAAGGGAAGCACCAGCCACAGCTTTGTCGGTCCCAAGAATCTGGGTGCAAGAGAAGAATTACCAGAAATCAGAACATATAGGTTAAACCTTCATTGTAGGATTCGACAAAATTCACCAGGATTATGTTTCAAACAAGGACTGTACACCTTGTCAAATAAGAGATACAACTAAATTGGACATGTCCAAAATGTCCGTTTTTAGAGTAACAGTCACCTGTTGGTCGCAATGACAAGCTACAACCCATTACTAACATATAGCGATACAGCAAAGTGAGGGTCAGCTTCTATCATATTATAATACTTACAAAGACTATGTAAAATGTCAATCCAAAACAGTTTATGCAGTTCATGAGAAAGAGAACAGGCTTTCCGCATCACCCAAACATGCATAAAACATAAGGAAAAATAACATATTCATCTGTGACAATACCTGGTCAAGTTCATTTGCATCTAAATAAATATCATCACCAAATACAAAATCCTCAGCAGTCTCATCCTTCGGAAGAACTTGTAACTCATCATCCTCCCATTCCTCCTCTATAAAAGGTGCCCCATACTGTTCCCCATTCTTCGGCCCTGCACCACTCTTCTGGAAGACTCTGCATAAAACAAATGCATCCTTTTCGCCAAAAAAGGAAAAAGAGAAGAAAATAAGAGAAGGTGATGAAACTATGTAAACAAATTACAGGAAATACGCCCCCAAGAGAGGAAAAACGGCAACGACCCCACAAGCACTCCCAAACAAGGGCAAAGGGAGTAGAAAGAAAATTTGCATTCACTCTGTCCATCTGACTACTTACCTTCAGCATTTTTCTATTTCCCTCCAGAAGCAGCTTTGAGGGAACTGGATAAGGATGTGAGATGCTTATAAATTTTACACAAATTGAAAAAAAAGTCACTATCCGCCAAAGACAAACATGATTATATACAATCTTTATAAAAATATAGAAAAAAAAATAAGAACCATCAGGTACCTGAGGAATTCCAGCGTTATCTAACGCCTCATCAATCAGTCTGTACTCATGCATCACCCAATTAGTTCTCTGACCCTTTGGAGCACGACCATTGTGATAAACTAGAGTCTTCTTCATCCCAACAACCTGAGATTTATTACGATGGACAGCCCTATCCTTTCCGGTTGTCTTCCAGTAGCCTTTTTCTGTCGCTCGGTTGGTCCTTGCTCCATTACCGTACTTCTTATCAAGAACACTAAAGAAGTACCACTCCAAATCTCTTGTCTTCAGCCTTGACATGCCTAAGGAACCATAACATTACACTAAGCTTACAATATAACTCACAGGTATCTGACAATCAACTCAACCAATACAATTTTTACTGAATGGAAAGAAGCTCTAAGCTTTGGTTTTAAAACTTTCAGGGAAGTAACATAAGAGAACTATGATAAAATAGCTACTGCAGTCAGAATATATATAGACACACGATTGCACAATGCAGTTCTGGATGAAGAATTGAAGTATACTGTGACCCAAATGGAACAAAAGGAAAAATATATTCTTTTTAATCAGGAAAGCAAAAAAGTTACTACAATTAACAAGTAGAACAAGTCATCACAACAAACCACGTTCACCACACATCTAGTCCAAGTTCCAATATGATTTCAATTAATCCTCAGAGAAAAAAGGAGGATATAACAACTTACAAAATTCTTTCTTTTATATAGACATGGTGTAAGGGCCATTCTTTTGAGCCAAAGGTCCATCAGAAACTCTCTTATCTCCTACAAACCACACACCACATACCCACATGTGGTGTTATACCACGTAGGTGTTGGTGGTGGTGTACGGGTGTACAGGCCACGGTTACCTGCTGCTACCTCCGACACAATAAACCATGTTCACCAATATGATTTCAATTAATCCCCAAGAAAAAGGGAGGATACAACAACTTACAAAAATCCTTTCTTTATACAACCATGGTATCCGGGCCACTCTCTAGACCTTCTTTTGAGCTGAAGGTCCATCAAAAACAGCCTCCCTATCTCATACAAACCATCCTCCCCAAAGTTCACTTGTGGAATCACACAAGTATGTCGGTGGTGGTGGTGGTGTACAGGCCACCTTACTCAACAAATTACACCGAATACCTCACATACACACCGACACAGCTAACTCTGTTCACCAAAGCTCAAGTTCAAACAACTTACAAAATTCTTAGCAACTAACCAACAAATTTGGGGAAAACCAAACCCCTAAATTCTTAATCCTTCCCTCTACTAACCAACCCATTAACATTACATAATCTCAAAATCCATAGATCTATACATAAACAATCAATTAACCCAAAAAGCAACTAAAAAAACAAAAACTTTCCATCAATCATGAGCTATAAAAACTTAAATTAAAAGAGACTAACCAGGAAGATCCCAAGGTTCAACCTTGTAAATATCGATCTCCGATATAAGATCAGACTTAAACGTCCTTCCATAGATTTTCCGGCGGAGATAGTATCTAACCAATTCTTCATCCGTCGGATGAAATCTGAACCCCGGCGCCAACAATTTCGATGATCCTCTCGATTCCATCAACCACACTAAAAAAAATTCAAAAAATTCACAAAAAATAATTAAAATTATCTAGACCTTATTCTAAACACAGAGAAAAAGAAAATTGAGATTAGGATTTAGGAATTTGGGGTATGTGAGATTTAGGGTTTAATGGACTTGGAAAAAAGCCATTTTTGAACTGTAACGAAAATTTTGATGACTTTTTAATTTAAAGGAAGACGATTAGTATATTGATGACGTCAATATTTTGGTGACCCCTTTGACAAGTTTTTGAGGAAAATAAAATAAGATATTTTTTTATTTTCTAAGGATAAGATGTATAGACACAAAAAATTAGATGTGGAGAAAAAAATGAGAAGGGCAACAAAAGTATATAAAAATAATACTTATCTTACAAATATTTTTAAACAATATATTACAATAATAATATATTCAGTTAAATTTTATCAAGCAAATTTTATTTATGTCGAGGTAGAAAGATTATTTCTGAAAATCTCTCGGTTCAATTTGAACAATTTATTATCTTTATATTTAATATATATTAAAATAAGAGTTGGATCGAGAGCAATTTTGGGGTTCATCGGCTTAGAAAGGTAAATTGATAATATGGTTTATTTATTTTTGCTTTATCAAGGTTGCACTTGCGATAATCCAAAGGTTGTGTATGACCTCTCTATCGTGTTTGATTTGCTGATATTATCATTCATCTATCTAATCTATTTTCTGGATAGCTTCTTTATGGGAAGCACTACACTAACCTAGCTAACACTACATCTCGCTAATTCCATTCTCCCTCTTCTTTTATTTTACAAGAATAAAGAATCGTGAAATTCATTCTATTTATCAATGAAAAAAATGAGATTTTGAGAGAAGTTGAAATTTATGTTAACTTTAAATTTGATTCCAAAGTGTAGGATATTGGACCAAGTCAGCCATATTACGTATTCTTTTTTTTTAAATTAAGTTCATGTCTACCTTCATACTTGGTGTTGCGTAATTGCTTTGCCTCAATTGCCAAACCCAACTTAGTTTGTATCTCTTCCTTTGTCCACAAGGAAATATGGGTGGAACCGCCTTAGACAAAGGTTGGTCCGATGCATATTTTTTATCGAAAAATTATATAATATATTATTGAGACACTCAATTAGTGTCCAACTCTAACAAGAGTTTCACGGACAAAGGCTAGGCACAAGAATATATTTAGTCTCCTTTTACAACTGTATCTCTACATTAGAATATTGTAATTATAAATACATGATTGCTGTGTATTTTATGTTAAGGTGAAAATAATAAAAACTGTATCTCTACATTAGAATATTGTAATTATAAATACATGATTTCTGTGTATTTTATGTTAAGGTGAAAATAATAAAAACAACTTGCAGCTTCTCCAGTTTTTGCTCTCTCTATTATCTTGTTCTAACATGTATTAAGATTAAATGTTAATTATTATAAATATATATTGAATTTTGCATATATTTAACATAATTGATAATAATAATAATAATAATAATAATATATATTTAGTCGAATTTCTCGATGCACGTAACAATTTGATTATTGACACCTCTTATTGTGTGACCTTGCAGAAATAAACTACTTAACGTGCATAATACTTTGCTTAGCTTGTTAATAAACATAGGAAAATCCTTTCAAGAAAATAGTTTTTCAAACTTTTAAAGTTAAAGTGAAATTTCTTTCGAAAAAATTTAAGGTGCATATAAACTCGAAATTTTTTTAGGTGCATATAAACTAAACACCTTTGAGTGAAAGTGAAATTTCTTCGGAAGAAACTCGAAAATTTTTTGAAGACAATTTTTTAGAAACTGAAAATACTATACTATTAAAGCTAGAGATTGCAACTGAAGGCGCTCAACTTTATTTAAACTAGTTAAACAGACAACATTATGTCGATAGCTAAGGGTGCATAAGTACAAGTTTATAGCAAAACTACGTAAATAAAGTTATTACATAGCCAGCCATTTTCATTTTTCTCTAACAGTTTTAAGAATGGAGGACTCCGATACAACGGAGCCCTCTGCTCGGCCAACAGCTGCAAAACTAGAACTACATGGAGTTGTTGTTACCAGCTAACCTCCTCGAACGAGTCTCCTCAAGTCCTCGTTCTCCTTGTTCAAGAGATCGAGACGTGATTGAAGAATGTTGATCATAGCTTGAGCTCTCATCACTTCAATCTTCGCAGTCTCCCTTTCCATCGAGACATTTAGTATCTCATTCTCTAAATTGCTAATGAACTTCAAGTAACCTGGAGGAACAGATTTTTCAAGATTGGAAGAGTCAAAATTAAGGGAGTTAGAAGGTTGAGCTTCTTTTGGTTCAAGGGGATCTAATAAGGGGAATGTTAAGAGAGTAGGGGAGTAATTTGTCGTCATCGTCTTTGTTGGTGGATCCTGTTGGCTAGTGGTTGAATCTTCAGAACCATTTGCATGGCTAGAGCTAGGATCATCATGCTTCGATCTTTTGCTTTGAGCTAAAGAGAGTAGTTCGAGATCCTCAGACCTTTCCCTCTTGCAAACAAACGAAAGAGGTCGAGGCTCAAGCAGGTTCTCACTTTGGCAAGGAGCCTTCCCATGCACATCCTGCTTTGAACATCCCACCGTTAGACGCAAGGAAAGAATTACCAAGAACATATTTAAGCATACCCAAGCATCAAGTTATTACGCATAAGATCACAATATTCAACATGCTTGCACACGGTTTTGCAACTTACGTCAAATAACACAAGCTCTAACGAATAAATTCAATAACAAAGCACAATTCCACCAATAACTACAATCATCACTAAACAAACTCGCATCCAACCATATTAGAAAACCAATGCATCACAGGTTTGCAAGTTGAAGTTCATCTGAGCGTCCAGATAGAACACTTGAGCATGAAAATATAAACGATTTGTGGCAACGTTTGATCAATTTAAAAGATTAGGGATCATGAATGTAATTAGAAGCCTAGCTATTCATCTGGCCTACTCAAAAAAATGAATGAGGTCATTAAAATTGATGCAAGCTTTCCAAAGTCTGCCGTACGATTATCTGGAAAGGGAATGGCTACCTAAGGGAGCTTCAAATAAGGTATTCATCTACTATAATTTTTCTCTAATAAGAGGGAGAGAAAAGTAAACAAAGCATAAAAAAGGCAAGTGTATCACACGTTCTCAACAAATAATTTATTATCTAGTAACCTAATGTAAGAGAGTGTATCACACGTTCACGACTCAATTGGTAGATCTAGTGTAACCCTGACAAAGAGGCAGTAAAAGCTTCTCCTTAAGGTAGGGCATAGAAAACTAGGAATTGGCTAGCTCTACTCCGCAAGTACACATTATTACCTATGTGATAACTGCACCTGCCTGTGAAAAAATAATCTGGAAAAACTAATTGTGATAGTCACAGATAAATCTGTAGTTTCAGTTATTCTTATTAAGAAGTTTTGACTATATGACATGCGACAAAATGAGAAATCAATCCATCTAATTCTAGCCTGATTGGAGCTCCCTACACAGTTTAATCCACCTCGGCCCACAACACTTCAAGCCCTTATCTAGGTTTGGTGTCTAGCTTAATGCATGAAATGGGCAGGTCAGTAGATTGACGAAAGCTCGACTTTAAAGGGCAAACTTATACTGGGAGACAGAGATGCGAAGATACTGAATATTAGTCCCTAGCTAGTAAGTTGAGGACATATATAGGATCTCTGTGCCAATGAGATATCCCTGATACACCATTATGTGGGAGCCAATCCAAAAGGATCTAGATGGAAAAGTGAGTTTGTGCCTCTCACCGGACAAAAGTGAGCTAAAATAAAACCTCAGAAACACTATTTTTCTTCGCGCTCTACAAAAAATTATGACACAATACTGAACATAATCTAATGGAGAAACTACCGTGTTCTAACAGAAACCACGGTTTCTGAAGAACAGTAATACAAAGACAATCAAGAGAAATTAAAACGTGGTAGATGTTCTTGCAATAAAAAGCTAAAAGGGTTTAGGTTTCCAAGGAAGAGCCAACCGCGTTCGAACAGAAATCGGTGCTCCTGAAGAATAGTAATACAAAGAGAACCAAGAGAAATTAAAACGTGGCAGATGTTCTTGCAATTAAAAACTAAAAGGCTTTAGGTTTCTAAAGAATAATCATACTAGGAGAAAACGACAAATGAAAAAAAAAAAAAAAAAAAAACG